TATGTAATATGTAACAGTCATGGTTTTTAAAAGATATTTCATGTACGGATTTCGATTTGTTACCATTTTATTATATGTATAGATACAGTGTTTTATATTATATAAAAAAAAATCAACGTCAATACGGAAAGTAATAAATATATTTTGTATTACACTTGATTTTAAAGCGTGAATTACGCAACAGGAGGAAAAAAGAAGGGTTCCATAGGAATAAAGAATAAAGTTTATTGATTTTTAGTACGAGGTGTATTAAGGGTAGGGGCAAAGGAATTTTATTAGCATGAAACTATTACTGAACTCATACAATCATAAGAGCTTTATGTTAATTTTAAATTCGGTGAGAGAACTGACCTGAAAATTATAGGTGCTAGACATTATCTGAAGAATCCTTTATTTAGTATTGCTATTACACTTTTTATATTGACATGAACAATCTATATTAATGATTAGCGACTCACATTTACTCCATTCGGGTTCGACCTTAGTTACGTTTTAACGTTTAGATAGATAGATTTCTCGTAACATATAAAAAATATTCTATATGTTGACCTGGATAACCAGTTATCATTATACCAAACATAAAAGTCCGTCCAGTAGTTTTCTCGTGATGCATCCCCAGAAAGACAGACAAAAATTATAAAAACTATAAATTCAGCCTCTGTATCGATGATAATGACTATTTCAAAAAGATTTTCCAAAAAATATTTAATGTACAGATTCGACTCAGTTATAATTTTATTGTATATGTAGATATGGCTAAATGTGAAATATCATTCAACGGTGAGGCTTAAACAACACAGTCAGTTTTAGTTAGCTATATTATAAGCAATCATTTCATGAAATGGTCGAATATATCACGAAATGATCCCTTATACGATCTGACCACGACATATTTATGTTATTGTATAAGGCGGTGTTTGTTGTAATTACTTATGGACACGCCAAACATATTAACCAGTAATGCATAAAAACAATTTATATTACTTAACCCAATTAATTTATAAATTTGTAAATAATTAATTATATATATATATATATATATATATATATATATATATATATATATATATATATATATATATATAGCAAACAGTTATGCCATCTTTATAGATAGATATTGTTTCAATTTAACATGATTTTGATGAACTTACTTGTAACTGATTGAAAAGAATCAAAAATATAAAAAGTAGCACATATAATGCATAATAAGCACAATTACCAAGGGAATATACCTTCTACTTTTCCGGTCGATCAAAAACATCAGTTTTATGGCCACGAATTATTAAAAATGGATTGAACGTATGTAACTTTAAATCTATTTTTAATGATTCACTGGCCATAAAGCTAGAATCAATTAATTAAATTAATAAATATTTTTTAGTCATGTCCACATATCCATACTAATATTATAAATGTGAAAGTGTTTTTGTTTGTTTGTTTGTTTGTTTGTTTGTTTGTTTGTTTGTTTGTTTGTTTGTTAGTTTGTTTGTTTGTTTGTTTGTTTGTTATATGTTTGTTATATGTTTGTTATTTGTTTGTTTGTTTGTTTGTTTGTTTGTTTGTTATATGTTTGTTATTTGTTTGTTTGTTTGTTTTTGTTTGTCCTTTTTCACGTCGAAACGGAGCGACGGATTAGCGTGATTTTTTGTGTGGAGATAGTTGGAGGGCTGGAGAGTGACATGGGCTACTTTTTATCGCCGGAGGTCATCTTACTCCCACGGGAAAACACGTTATAATACAATCAAAAAAATATTATCAGAATTACTTGAAACTTGATATTAATGCTTTTCAATACAATTCAAGAAATACTTATTTTAGCATTTTTAAGGGTAAAATAGGGAATAAAGGTTTGTATGAAACCTACCTTTTTAGAGATTTTTTGTAGTTTTAGCGCGAGCGAAGCCGCGGGTTCAGTAAGCATATAATATATTTTTAATATGATAATGAATATGATTTATATAATAACTACGTATTTATAAATGTAATATTTGCGACTGTCCATTTTCACCGACTTTAAAAATCAAATACATGCCTTAATTTAAAAGTTTATTTATTTAAAAAAGGTAAATAGTTTCCAAACGCAATTTTTATGTATGTAACCGTTTCTTTTCATTTAACGGAGATAAGTCAATTCAATGTTAAAACTTCGTTAAACGGAAGGCTGCAACTGAACAATGCATTCGTATTCACGATCGAATGAATTTCATAGTTCCGCGTTGTCGTACACGCCGCGTGTTGGTTTTATCAAATTTTTTTATTGTTTGTTAAATTTTTCCTCACATTTTGACGCAGATTCGTACATATGGTAATTGTATTTCGAACGAAATATTTTATGTGAAGTTGAACTTTTGACCTCAACTTGTATGGTTGATATGCTATCTTTGTTTCATATATCAAATGTCATAAAGGGATATTACCTCAGATTACAACTAAGTTTTATATAAAATAGTTTGATATATCAAACCCGATTAAAATTCGGCACTTAAAGCTATTATTAAATTAAAGCTTAACCAAATATAAATAACAGAGGAATAAAAATGGAAAATACTATAATAACATAATGATACATTCTATAAGTTGTGATTTTTTAACGTAATTCAAGCATGAGATCAAAAATTATAGACAAATATTGCATGGCTGCATCAGACGATCGCCAAAAGAATTTAAAAAAAAGTATAGTTATACAGTATTTATGAGTTATATAGTGGAACATTTATACACTAGTAATAATAAATCATTTATTGCAGGCAAAAAACTTATATATATCTATACAGAAAAATGAAAAAATACAGTTAAAATTAAAAGTAATTATTATTAAAAAACGTGGCATGCCTGAGCATAATAAATGCTTTTAAATAGATGTGACAATCTGCGACAAAAAAAATATAATAATAAATTACGCGAGTGTGAGAGAGACAGAAAACATTCTAGAAAGAAAGTTGGTAGTTGTCATTAATCAATTGAAATAAGTATAGTTTTTACGAACTGTCAAAACGCTATTCTGTCATAGATTTTGTACTCGTATAGCAATAATCCACTCGTATAAATAACAAGAGAATCGAATTGAAGAAGTTGTGACGTCATTTTATTTGTCAACTCAATTAATTATTGATTTTAGGTCATATATTTATATATATACTCTCGACGACGACGACGACGATATATATATATATATATATATATATATATATATATATATATATCGAGTCCCAGGTCGGGTCAAGTTTAGTTATTAAGTCTTTCTGTATAGTAAGTCTTAGTAAAGCCGTCGGTCTGCGACTTAACTCTCACTGGTCGTGTCGAGCAGTCGTCCCACCGGAGTATGAGAGTGACAAGAATAGAGTGCACTTGTGTCTGCGCGTACATTTGTGTACTATAATATCTCCTGCGCAGCTGGCTAGTCTCCGCGAGATTGGCCGCCTTGGCCGGAATCGGTCAGGAGAACATCATCATCATCATCCTACTCATAAAAAGTATTCTGTATTAAAACATTGGTACAACTGAACAATATTTATTTAATATTAACCCCCAAACAATAAAACATTGTTATAAGGTTAATATATAATTAATAAAAAAGAAAATTATTATTTAACTAGTCATAACACAACGTTCATTTTTTTGACACGTTGTTATCTATACATATAATAAAACTGTAGAGACCGAATGTCTGTACATAGAAAAAAAAATGCAAAAATCTAATCAGGGGATGAAAGAAGAGAACAAATCAAGATTTTTTCGATTTTTTTGTTTCTCTGTTTGTCTTTTTGTACGAGCTAATCTCCGAAACTGTTGGATCGATTTAAATAAAATTTTGCATAGTGGTACCTTATATTCCCAGCCAACATTTAAGATACTTTTCATCCCGGAACATTAAAGATTTCCCGTGGGATTGTTAAAAAACTACAGTAACTTTCACAGTTTATACTTTAACAGCTTAGTACATGAAAACTACTGATCGGATTTTAATGAAACTTTACAATAGTATAGTTCAGACATCAGAATAACAAATAGGCTACTTTTAATCTCGGAAAAATATACGGTTCCCGTGGGATAGATTTGTTTTTGCGAGTCTAGAGGCGAACCCGAGCGAAGCGAGGGTGAGCCGCTAGTTGTTATTGTATAAAGAAAACATACGTCGAATATCAATTAACTTAATGAATAAACTTGTGACTATGAAAATAAAAAATGATTGATTTGACCAAAATGTTTTGATATTAATCGACATTCACTATAGTTTTTATTAGAAATTCTTGTTCAAAGCACAAAAGGTGTACGACAGTAGCAAAGATGTTGTCGGGAATTGAGTTTAAAAAAGAAAATACGTGTTTTAAAAATGTTCATTATCTAAAACAAAATATGTTATCTTTTATTATATTCGAATTGTTTCTTGGAGTGAATCGTTTATATTTAATTTGCAGTCGAAGAAATGTACTTTGGTTAAGTTATATATATAGTCTATTTATGATTGTGTTTTCAGCAGTTTACTCTTTTGAAATCCGTTTCACATCAACATCTGGAACCGTGTACAAAAATATGTTAGGTGTAGAATGTTTAATATTAGGCTTAAACGCGCTATTTTTACAGAAGAAAAATCTAAATAAACTATTTTTGAACTATGAGAAGTTCGATGAATTACTCAATATTAAAAACGTAATATCTCTACTAATCCCAAAACGATGGTATTTACTTGGAATCGGTGTAATAATTCTACTTAATACAATGGATACCGTGTTGAGATTATTGTATGTTTTCCATCATAATATTCCATATCACAATATATATATTGCCTTTGTGATAGCTTTGGTCCATGATGCTGAGATAGGATTCTTTTGTTTTTCCCTCGCTAACGTTTTGAGCAGAATCTGCGTTCTAGAAGCTCATGTTGCTAAATATTTCAATGTTAATAATGAGGCAAAATATCCTAATGAAATAGAAATATTAACCAAAAGAACGAACTTGAATGTTAACTCTCTTCATACAGCTTATGATTTATTGAATAAATGTTCGGAACAACTCAACACTGTACTAAATTTTCCGGTAATAGAATATTTCATATGTAAAAAGGTTAATGAAAAGAGATACGTTAATGGTGCTCATTTTATATATAATTTGACACTTTAAGAATATGAAATTGATAATATTATACTTGTTATATACTATATAGTTTAGAGGGTTAAAAATTATGGTGTTTTATTATGTCAAATATTGGACCTAATAAGTATGGACAAAGTCCATACTAACATTGAAAATGTGTGTGTATGTTTGTTTGTTTGTTTCTGTTTCACGTCAAAACCGAAAAAAATCAATTCAATTCAATTTTCTTGGCTTCAAAGCGTACCAGTTGAGTACCAGATTACTTAAAAAAAATAATGATATGATTTAGGTGTAGAAGATATTAAAATTATTGGAGGGATATGACAGGGGACAAAAGTTTTTTACGTCTCATTCCCACGTTATATAAATACCTCCAGGTAATCTAAGAAATTAATTAAATTTCTAAGAAATCTATTGTTAATTGCAACGCCAGCGTGTCCGCGGTCGTGGAGTAAAGTATATTTTAGTATTAGGGATGTCAATAATCTCTCTGATTTACTAATAATAATAATATATAAATAAAATATAAATAAAAAGCCTTGTGCATTGTTATTGCATACTTTACTTTGTATAAACTGACTGACAATACAAATAAATTTAAATATACATATTTTTTATAGGTAACAATTGTACTGATAGAGAGTGGACTTTCGACGATAATATATTTTAAGTATGCCATAGTAATGTTTCAACGTGGATCGGTATGTAGTATAAACAAATTTTGTATCTGTAATAAGTACGAAGGTATAATTTACTGCATGAAAAATAATTGTTTTTAACAGAATTTACGCTTCATATAAAATTCAATTTTCTGTGAATTCTATAATAGGAATTTCAACTTTTGCCCTTGATAAAAAAAATAAGCGCGTATGAGTTTGCTTATAAATAATAAGAAGCAAGTATATTATTGTTACAGCTAGCAGAACCGATAGGCATCTATGTAATAAGCCATTGTATACGGGATTTAATGCTATTGACATTTTTTTGTTACTTTTGCAACAAAGCAAAATCTCGAGTATCAGTGATCCGAACAATAATTCATGATATTTTGAACTCAACGCAATTAGGTAAGTGTCAAATCTATACATATTATAATAAAATTCTGAGCCGAATCTGTACATTAAATATTTTTTGGAAAATCCTATTGAAATAGTCATTATTATCGGCACAGAGGCCGGATCAATTTTTAGAATTTTATCTTTTGAACTTTTAACATTTTAGTCCGTCTGTCTGTCTTTGAAAACATCACTAAAAAACCACTGGATAGATTTTGATGAAATTTGGTATGATGACAGCTGGTTATCTAGGTCAACATATAAGATACTTTTTACTGCGGAAAAATATCTAGCATCTGAGAAATCTATACTAAACGTTAAAACGTACCTAGGGACGAAGCGAAGCGGAGCGAGGTTGAGTCGCTACTTCTTATATATTTTTATACAATGTACTTACCTACATACTATTATTATTTCATACCTATTCCAGTTATTTGAATAAGTATGAGTTTAAAATAGTTTTTTTAAATGCTTTGAGAGGTATAGATAGAAGTCGTAGACATATTATATTCACGTTTATGCTTCCATATTACGTTACAAAAATAATATATAAAACAGATACTTATGCGCATGATGAAAACTATTTACTATATAAGTTACTATAAGCTCGCCCTAAAACTAAAACAAATATATCCCACGGGAACCGTATATTTTTCCGAGATATAAAGTAGAATATGACTATTTCAGACTATAATCTATCTCTGTGCCACATCCAGATCCATTCAACCGTTCTGGCATCATCGAGTAACAAACATTTCACATTCATAATATTAATAAGATTTTATAAATTACCTAGATCGAAAAAAGTAAATAGCACCTATTTACACACAGCTTATTTCAATAACTAATTCATAATATCGTTTCGACTACTTTCAGTCACAGTGACTGAGTTTGGCTTTGGCGATTTTTATTTATTTGGAATACAAACATTATTTAGTTACATATAAACAAAAAGAATAAAAAAATAAAAAAATAAATTTAAATTAAAAAAAATTGTTTCATTTCCACACAAACAGATTTTTTCATTTTGAACGTTTTCTTTAGGACAAAAACAAAATCTTAGTATATGATAATATAATTATGATCATAAAATTAATATTATCTTTTTTTTTCTAGATAAAATAGAGCGCCGTAAGATAAAGGCATTTTACATGTTAACTCAAGAAAAAGAATTGGCGTACGCTCTGTGGGGGATTGTAAAACTGGATATGTCACTTCCAGTCAGCTTTTTGAAGCTTTGCATCACGTACATCATTATTATCTTACAATTTTCAAAATTTTTTGACTAATAATTCTAATTGAAGTAAGCTTCAGTTGGAGATTTTCATTTCATTGTGTCTGTGTGTCTTATAAAATTGTATGAAATAATTTATATGAAACAACTAACTTGCTTTGCTCTATTATGGTACTCGTATTTAAGAATAAGTTTATAATTACTGAAATATAGTCTATATTTTTAATAATGTAACTTTGTTAAATATAAAAATGTATTTTACCTTTTCAAAAAAATATTAAAGCTTTATTCTAATGACCTAAAATAAAAAAGATATTAAAAATTAAAATAATTTATGATTTTTAATACATTTATCAATTCACACGTTTTCGTTTAAACACATGCATAAAAATTTAATTATTAAAATTGTTATAGAGTATTTGTATGCATTATCCAATTACAATACATTATTAATCGTAGTTAAATTAATTTGAAACCAATTATAATTTTATTTCAAGTATCATAAAATCAATTTAATTGGAACTAAACGCAATACTAAACAATTTCACAACCACAACGAAATATAAATGTATAGATACCAGTACAATTTACCATCTCTTATCCTTAGAAACAGATGGTAATGATTTATGTTTTCATTAAGAACTTTAATTAATTCTTATTGGAAATGATCGTGAATGTTAAAAATTGATACAAGCTGTGGTATTTCTTTAATATTAGTTAATTTTATAGCAATTATTACACACAGTATAAGTAAGTAATTATTTGTAATGTTAACAAACAATTATTTTATAGGCTTATACACGTACAGGGTATAAAAAAGTATCAATTTAAATCTCATTTTTTCTTCTGATTTATAAAAATGATTAAACGCTAGTTATTGATAACAATATTAGAACAACAATTACCGATCCAAATTTAAAACTACGAGACGAAAAAACGATATTATTTCAATATTTTATTTTTGACATTTTTTCCACTAAAATGCCTTAAAAAAAAACGTTATGTAACTTGGCTTGCAGATTATTTTAAAAACATAGCTGTTTTCTTAGCTCTCCATGTGAGTGTCTTGCCGTGCCGTGCCGTGCCGTGCCGGTGTTGGTTTCGTTGGGGCGTCGCGTCGTCGCAGTGTCGTCGGGACGTCGCGGTCGCGGTGTCGTCGCGATGTCGTCGGGGTGTCGTCACGGTGTCGTCGCGGTGTCGTCGGGGTGTAGTCATCCCTGTCACCTCGTACCGAGAATACGTCGAATTACCAATAACTCTCTATGCAGCACTTGTGGTTTCTCGCAGCTCCAACCATGTAGTTTAATTTTTTAGAATTACTTTGTACTCGTAGTTTGTAAGATAGTCTGTAGCCTTCCTTAATAGCGTAAAGCTAAGCGTATAGAAGGTAAAAACTATTTTCAAATTGGACCAGTAGATTCAGAGATTAGCGCGTTTAAACAAACAAATTCTTCAACATTATAATATATTAGTATATACTCGTAGATTAAATGAAACTCTAATCTATACTAATATTATAAAGAGGTAAAGTTTGTGATCTTGTGAGTTTGTGAGTTTATGAGTTTGTGAGTTTGTGACGTTGTAGGAGGTAATCTCTGGACCCCCCCCAACGTGCGTTCACCTTGTCGTGGTGGGGGGGCTCAGTAGTGCCCGGCAATCCAACCGGGCGCGAAGCTAAGAAACGCACAGGAAGGTTGCCCACTTCGGTGGGCGGTGGGAGGTGGCCCTCTTCGGGGGGCGGTGTACCATGCGGGTTGCTCCTGGTACTTCTCTGATAGCAGAGTGGACTGTGGAGCAACCCCATGGTTGTGGTGGTCTGCTTCGGCAGACCTGCCGTCGGGGCGTCGTAGTTGAATGCGTAAGCGATCCTGCGACGCCCCATTAAGACGGGGGAAGGTTTTGTTGGGTTTTAGTGGGTAGTACTGGCTGTATTACGCCGGTGAGTCCCACACGTCGTGCGTAAATGCATTTCCCAACGTTAAAAAAAAAAAAAAAAAAGTAATCTCTGGATCTACTGAACCGATTTTCAAAATTTTTTTACCAATAGAAAGCCACGTTCTTTTTGAGTGTCATAGGCTATATATTAACCCGAAAAATGAAAAGGCTTTTTCGTGGTAGTCGGATTTGCAAAGTAAGTCGGAGAAAAAACGGTCGAACGAAAACGTTTCTTACGAACGCTGCCTTAACGATGAGAGATATATGATTATGTTCTAGAGAAAAGTTGTAGAGCTTAATAATGCCTACAAAAAAGTCAGCGACAGCATATGTCTAACTTTTATATTTAAGTCACAAAAAGTAGCTTTTTATATTAAAAAAATTATTTAAATTGGTAGGTCATGTTGGATCATTGGTCATATTATCAACAATTATGAATTCTTATCCAAATAAGTAAATTTATCGTCTAAAATGTTTAAAACAAAAGACTTTTCCCTTTTACTGCATATAATTTGGACAAATGGTTAAAGAGATAATACAACATATTCGTAGGTATGGACGAACCCGAGCGAGCTGTTTGTCTGTTTTTCTGTTTGTACGGGCTAATCTCCGAATCTATTTGACCGATTTAAATAAAATTTTGCATAGTGGTACCTTATATCCCCGAGCAATATCTTAGATACTTTTCATCCCGGAAAATTAAAGAGTTCCCGTGGGATAGTTAAAAAACTATAACAACTTATACAGCTTAGTACACAAAAACTACTGATTGGATTTTAATAAAACTTTACAATAATATAGTTCATACATCAGAATAACAAATAGGTAACTTTACATCCTGGAAAAATGTACTTTTCCCGTGGGATAGATGTTTTTATTTATCTATAACGTATTATGTACACAACATAGAGCCCAAAACAACAGTTATTAAAAAAATGTCTGTTTGTCTGTTTGCCTATATGTCTGTTTGCCTGTATGTCTGTTTGTCTGTTTTTGTGTGCGCGTTTCACGCGAAAAGTAATGTACCAATTTCAACGAAATTTGGTGAAGTGGTAACTTATTACTCGAGTCAACATTTAGGGTACCTTTTGTATGTATGTATGTATGTATTCAGCCCTTTTTAACGTACCACTGCTGGGCACGGGCCTGCCTTCAGTACGAGGTGGATCAGGCCATAGTCCACCACGCTGACCAAGTGCGGGTTGGTGGACTTCACATGTCTTTCGAAAGCTTGCTAGGTTCTGTCAGACATGCAGGTTTTCCTTCACCGTTAAGACAAATGGTAATTGTGTTAGAAATGATTCGCACATGAAAATATCAGAGGTGCGAGACCCGGGATTTGAACTACTTGCTTCACTCGGTTTCCCAAGCGAGCGCGTTACCACTGGGATACCACTGCCTAGATACCTTTTACTTCAAGAAAATCTTTCTTTCCCAAGGGAAAATACAATAACTGGTTTTATCGAGTCCTCTCTAGAAACCTTCCGCTGGCTAAGCCTTAAGACATACATACATCAAAACAATATACTTAAAATTGTAGGTCTTGAAAAGTCCTACAGAAAAGTTCTGAATAGTATATGTCTATCTCCTAAGTTACACTCGCAATATTTATTCTTATCAATACCTATAATAAAACTTAGTCAAATCGATGTGCGCGTTTCACGCAAAAAGAACTCAACCGATTTTAACTTAATTTTGTATAGTGATAAAACTCAGTACTCGGGTCAACATTTAGGATACCTTTTACGACAGGCTAATTATTCATTCCCATGGGAAAACATAATAACTGGTTCTATCGAACCGTCCTTAGAAATTTATATGGCTAACGTTGGTTCAACCTTAAGAGATAGATCAAAACATTGTACAAGAAAATTGTAAGTCTTAAAAAGGCCTATAGAAAAGTTCTACATAGTATATGTCTATCTCCTAAGGTACACTCGCTACAACTATTTGCATTATTATATATTACTGTTTTATTATACGTTATTTATTCTATCTGAATATACATATATGAATAATAAAACTGTAGGGGTCGAATGTCTGTACATAGATGATAGAAAAAAATGCTAAAAACCGAGTCAGTTCTCTTCTTACATCCCGTAAGGAGAGAAATAGAACAAATCCAGATTTTTTTCAATTTTTTTGTTTCTCTGTTTATACGGGCTAATCTCCGAAACTATTGAACCGATTTAAATGAAATTTGATACTTTTTATTCCGGAAAATTAAAGAGTTCCCGTGGGATAGTTAAAAACTATAGTAACTTAAACAGCTCACTACACAACAACTTATGCACCTAATTTAGTAATATTTGGTATGCTGATACCTTATATTGCAGGTTTAACAACAGGTTACTTTTTATCCCGGAAAAATAAACGGTTCCCGTGGGATAGATCTGTTTGTGCTTTTCTAGAGGTGAACCCGAGCGAAGCGAGGGTGAGCCGCTAGTAGAATAAATAAAGATAGATGTACAAAAATTATAACAAAATACTAAATGTTTTTGTTTGTTCTCTGGAAGTACTAGTCTTCACTATCTATATTAAAAGAATTATGTCAATAAAATGGGAAATAAATTATTTTCTAAATTTTCCTTTACTTGTGCTGAGGGATATTGCGTATTACAAAGTTTAATGGTTTTGGGGAAATGCTATAGGTATAGCTAAAAGTTTTATAAGAAAGTAGGTATGTAAGTATCAAAATATATGAAATATATAAATTGCGTTGATTTAAAAATTATTTTAGTTTAAAGGAACGTAGTTAACTATCAGATGTTATAAATCTTAACTTTACTCCTTTTCTCGCAAAATGGTGTGTTATAATAAATAAATGTATAATCCTGTTAGGCTTCTGTTCATACTAAATGGCTTTTTTAACGTTGGGAAATGCATTTACGCACGAGGTGTGGGACTCACCGGCAAAGCCAGTACTAAAACCCACTAAAACCCAACAAAACCTTCCCCCGTCTTAATGGGGGGTTGCAGGATCGCTTACACATTCAACTGCGACGCCCCGAGCGACGGCAGGTCTGCCGAAGCAGAATAGCCGGGCACTACTGAGCCCCCCCACCACGACAAGGTGAACGCACGTTGGGGGGGATACTAAATGGCTTACGGAACCCCAGAAAAATAAAATATGGTACGGAAAGCTAAAAATATTTCAATAAATCAAAAAAAAGAGGCGCATTTTATCACGTGTACACTTGGCCGGTGAGTTAAATTCAATAAAGTGCTGTACATATACATACATTGTTGTAACTGTTTGTCCTCGGACGGCTACGAGCTTTGCATATTTTATAAAGGACGTCATTGGACGCCGACCTCGAGAACATGTCATATTTACTGCAACATATTTTCAGTTATAAATATAAAAAAAAAAATTATATGCTTGTAAGAAAAAAGTGTTTGAATTACCTACGAGTGATCTAGGTACTTAAAATGATGTATTTTTAGTGTAAAAATTCTTGTTTATTACACATCTTCTTCACGTACTTTCTATTACAAGGTGGTTAGAAAAAATACAATTCAGCAGTATAACATTTCGTTTCTAATATATTTATTTGTTAAAAAAATAATAGTAAAAACTAATACTTGAATGGGACCGTAATACACATTTTTAAACTTAATATTAAATTAATCTAGACTAATGAAGACATAAAAAAAGAATCTAGCCAACAATGTTTTTTTTTTTATTTTGATTTACATATATGTAAGTAATTTTTATACCTAAAAAATTTATAAAAACTACTACATTTATCAGTTCTTACGTTTTATATTTAAAAGCTATAAACAACATAATTATAGAAAAAGAAAACTAAAAAAAATAAGTTAATAGTAATGTAGCTTAAGCTATAAATTTTGAAAATTGTACAACAATTATAAGATAAGTAATACAAATACTTATATAACTTGGTGGCAGCGTCATGTCTAATTTTATTATGCCCCATAAAACGTATGAAAATTCATTCTCATGGGTTAATTGAAAGAACGCCTTTAGTTTACGGCGCTCAGTTTTACCTGAAACAGATATGCATAAGTGTTTTCTTAATATATAGCTAAATAAATACATTTTTTTGTTTTAAAATTTTAAATATACCTATAGTAATATCCACATATTATAATATATCTCTTGAGGTGATAAATTATTATACTATTTATTAAAATTTCAAAAAAATACATGTAGGTAACAACGGTTCCAAAAATATCTTAGTTTAAAATGATAAGTAAAATATAGTAATTTAGTTAAGAAAATAAAATTACTAACACACTATACTTATAGTAAATACGTACTGAGCTCTGAGTTATTCAAAGTGTCATAAATCATGGTACGAATTTTAGCTACTTGTCTTTTTGTTCGGTTTGAAAAAAAACAAG